CCTAAACCCTAAACCCTCCTGAAAACCTTAACCCTAAGTAAGACCCTAGCAGCACCCCCAAGGCCTGGAGGTTGAGGGCTTCAGTGTTTGGGAGGGATCGGGTCAAGGCGTGTAGGGTTTAGGGTTTAGGNNTACCACTACCACTACCACTACCGCTGCGGCTGCTGCTGCTGCTGCTGCTGCTGCTGCTGCTGCACTCATGCCACTACTGGTGCGCTCATCGTGCCCCAAACCCGAAAAGAGGTCTATGAGCCTCCTTATACTTGGAGGTTCATGGGACTTAATAAGCACAGTTATGAGTACCCTAATTGGGGGGTATAAGTATAGTTACCTTAGATTTTAACCCTACTTACTAAGTCCCATGATCCTTAGATTTTAACCCTACTTACTAAGTCCCATGATCCTTAAGTACAGTCTATCGGCGTTTAGGGCTTAACAGGGTTGAGGGTGTACTTAGGGCTTCGTTAGGGGAGGGTTCGTTTAGGGTTTAGGAGTTAGGAGGTTTGGGTTTCCGGTTTAGGGTTTGGGGTACGGGGCTTTTGGCTTAAAGGATGCTTGGATGCTATACTGGAGACCCTTCCAGGAGTCATTGCTTTGGTTTGAAGAACAGAACCAAAAAACTCTGAAACTCCCCACGTCCATTAAGAGTATGATTATTTCTTTAGTATTTTTCTTATTGTTATTATTTAATATAGAAGTTGATAATAATTCTGTTGATTAAGAAATCTCCAGCAAAACGGTTTAGGGTTTAGGGTTTGGCCTCCACGTTGCTCAACTGGCCAGCCGGGTCCCAACATTCGCAGGTGTCCTTGGGAGACTTCTAGGACCTCTGAATCAAAGGAAGACACCCCTAAGTTTCACGATTCTACTACGAGATACTATTATAATGCTAGATTCTATCTTATATCTTATGCCACAAAAGGAATCTAGCTTACTCATGGCCTAAGGTCGATTCCTGAGATCCTTACATAAGCGAAGTCTGGAACCCAAAACCGCAGGTCTTGAGTGCATCCCCGGCTCGGGGCAGAGCATTCGAGCCGTGTAGCCTCTTCCACCATCGTGGCCGAAGCCAGGCATCCTCGTGACGGAGTTGCCTCGGCGCGCTTGCGCCAGGTTGCAGGGGCGCAAAAGAAAAGGGGTCCTTTAAGGTGACCCTTTTGGTGCTCTAGGGTTTCGAACTTAGGGCTTCGAGTTCAGGGGGGAGTTAGAGAGTCTAAGGCAACAGAAAGCCCAGCTCCAAGGCCTGAGATCCCTGGCTGAGTCGCAGTATGGCCTGGCATCCGCGCAGCCCGTGATGCTCTCGTTCCCGAGCACCTCCCGCAAGTAGTTCAGCATGGGCTCCTCCGGAGGCCCTAAACCCTAAACCCTAAACCGAAGGCTGAGCTTAAGCAGCCGAGCGGCCCGAAACCCGGAATTCTAAACCCGGAACCCGAAGCCCGAAGCCCTGAGCCCTAAGCCTGAACCAGAAGATCTGACGTGCTTCCTGCTTAAACTACCGGATCGCCGACCTGACGCCTGATCGGCCTGATGGGAGGAAACCGATCGGAGGCCTCAAAAGGTGGGATTCAGGTGGGTGGGATATTCCGAAACGAAGGTTTCCGAAGATAGGGGACCCTAATATAGTACCCTAAATAGTAGGAGCCTTATTATAAGGACCCCAAAATGAAGTACCCCTGACTTTCGGAAACTCCCAAATAGTAGTCCTTACATAAGGTATCCTTGAAATCCTACCTACCTTCATCCTACCTCTTGAGGCCTCCGAAGGACCGAATGGAGAGAGCTGAGAGGTGCAAAAAGAGCCGCCCTGAAATGTCGGCGTTCCCGGCTTCGGGTTCACGGTTTTTGGGTTTGGGGATTTTGGTTTAGGGTTTAGGGTTTAGGGTTTAAGGCTTAGGGTTTGGGTTCACGGCTTGGGGGTATGGGTCTTTTGGTTAGGGTTTCGGGTTTAGGTTTTAGGGTCAAGGGTTTAGGGTTTAGCGCTTAGGTTTCAGGGTTGGTTCTTGTGAAAACAACAAGTCACCCATAAGAAGAAACCGAATATAGTTGTGGCAGGATCCTTATTGCAAGGACCTCGAAACAAGCGACCCTTTCAAGTTAAGAAACCCCTCAGAAAGGCAGTGCCGCTACCACTCTAAACCCTAGACCCCAGGCCCTAAACCTTAAACCCTAAACCCTAGACCCCAGGCCCTAAACCCTAAACCCTAAACCCTTCACTCTAAGCCCTAGCACTCCTGGTCGCCGATGTCCGCACACTGCGGATTGAAGAAGTCGACCGTCTCCTCCAGCGAAAGGATGGCCGAGTCGGAGAGGTCGCGCCTCTGTGGAGTTGCGCGGTGAAGGCTTGTGGGCTTAGGGGTTTTAGAGTTTAGGGTTTAGGGTTTAGGGTTTAGGAATACGAATAACTGGTGCTCTCTGGGTAGCCCGAAACTCTCCAAGTGGATAAGGGACTGAGACACTGTAGAGATCCTGGCCGGGGGCTCAAAAAAGCAGAGCTCCGTTTTGGGAGTCCGGAAAATCCGTACCCAGGGTTTTACACTCCCTGAGTGGCGGAAACTCTCCTGTGTGTTGGTTGAAGGGAATTTAAGGTTTAGGATTCCAGAATATCGACCCCTCTAAGGGTGTAGGCTCGTACGCATAGGCAGCTACGAGCCTGTGGCAGGGAGATACTGTACTATACTGCCGCCGGGGACGGGGCCCACCGCAGGCAGAAACGAAAAGAAAGGCGCCTGCAAAAGCGACTGTACCTGCCTACGGCGTCGAAGAGACGCGGGGGAGCGGCGTGCCCTGAAAACCGGCTGTACAGAAGGGACCGGCGGGCAGGCCCGCTCCACCCAGGCCGAGATCGACTAGCTCTTAGGGTTTAGGGTTTAGGGTTTAAGGTTTAGGGTTTAGGGTTTTTCCCTCTCGCATGGCAGAGAACAAAGCTCACAGGCGAGGTTTAGGGTTTAGGGTTTGGGGTTTAGGGGGCACGAGCCAAGGCACACGTCCGGAAGCCAAACACTGTAGATCGCTCCGCCAAAGGTCGAATCCAGAGTTTTCTCGGCTTCAACGAAGGCCTGGGTCCTGCTCGGGGCACTTGTGCAAGCCATGCTTCAGGACTCATTGACTCATCAAACCACAGCAACAAAAGTGTGGATGCGTGCAAAGTCACCGTATGCCGTCAGAGATGTCTCCCGTGACTGTTCCACTTGTCGGCGCCATCAGAATCACGTTTCCTTTGTTGCTTATAAGTCTTTGGTCTTTGCTCCAGCCCGTCCCGGCTGGACCCTGCTGGCGAGGTGCGCTTGTCTGCAGTCCAGACGAAGTTCATGTTGCCACCACACATCGCTTGCGACACTTCTGTGAGAGTGGTAACCATAGGGGCCAGCATCAGAAAGAAAACCATGAAGGTGCCGCCGGGAATCCTCAGCGAGACTATGGCGGCGAAGAGCAAAGCACTGAAAGACTGGGACTCCAGTGATGCAGAGATCGCTGAGTCATGTTGGGTCACCGCCACAGCAGCCACGGTTTTGGGGCAAGCTTGCAAGCAAGGCACAAACAACTGCTGATAAGCGACTTCACGTCCGCACCTTGCTGTTTTGGATTCGCACGTCTGAACGAAGAGCTTTCAGCATCACGTGAGCTTACCGACAAGTTCCTAACCAAGAGGACGAGGAGCCGCGGAATCGAGGGAAAGACTTCATAGGCAGCGGGTCCATGCAATTCACCTGTCAACAATTTAGG